CCCCGAGGCGGCGGCCGGCTCGCTGCGGCCCCGGCACGCAGGCCCCAGCGCCGCCTCGCCGCCCGGCGCGCCCCGGCCGCACTACCTGGGCGCCTCGGTCATCATCACCAACGGCAGGTGACCCGCCGGGCTGGCTCCGCCCAGGCAGGGCGGCCGCAGGGAGAAGCCATAGGCCAGGCCTTCTCTGGTTCCTAGTTCACAAAGTCCAGCGGAGGAGAGGGGCGAGCTGTGTATGCACCAATAAATTAATTTATACAGAGACAACTATTTTAATAGAACGCAGCCGACCTTGAGGCGTGACCTAGCTGCCATGTACCCCCGTGGAGAGGACCCGGAGCAGCCTGAGGTCGGGACACGGCCGCCCATCCTTGTTCTCCAGGGGTCCATCTTCAGACAGAGCCCAAGGTCGCGGCATCCGACGTGTGACCTCAAGCTACCCGGCGCCGGGGTCTCGGTTTCCTCACCTTGAAATCCAGCTTAAGGCATCTAGCCCGGTCTCTGATGCTCAAAAACAGGGGCTTTAAGGCATTGCAACTCCGTAAATACACTTTAAGGAGGGCGACCTCGCCCTGGCAGCTAGCATGCAGGAAGAGGAAGCCTACCGATTTCCGAGCCCTTTTTGATTCTTAAGTACAGGAAGAATGTGATCATTGTAAGTCCCATGAATAGACAACAACTCCACTGTCTTTAAAAGTCATTCATGATTTAAAAAAAAAAAATTTTTTTTTTTTTTTTTTTTAGTCCTTTCTTCAATACAAAACAAGCCAAGACCAAGGGGGTGAACATGCAAGTCTGTTGTGTGTGGCCATGGGTGTGCTTCCCAAGTACACGGTCAAGCTCTTACTCCCCCTTCCCTTTCCTTATGAACTCTTGGTAACACCAGGAATAGCACCTTCAGAATATATTGAATAGGCATTAAATGCAAAAAAGAATATATAGCCAGATGTTTTATGAGAATGACCTTGTCAAGCTTAATTCCACGGCAAAGTCCCTCTGTCCCACACAGATCTATAATTCACTAGGCTCGTGTTTGCTACAAGTAGTGCTAATGAAGTTAGTTACATTGCATGTGCAATATGGAAAACTGTCATGGACTGCACCTTGTGGAAGACAAACTTGCTTCAAGGGTGTAATGAAAATGATGGACACATTTTAAGCATTTTCTGCATTTTATACATAGCAAGAGCGCTTCATATGAATGTGTCATGTGTGTAACAGGTGAACAGAGACCCTTTTATAATGCACCAGCAGTGTTTTCAAAATAAAACTTCCAATACTTTTGGTTTCACTCTTACGATTTTTTTTTTCTTAAAGATATCACCATTGGATCTGAGGGAATAGATGCATTGAGTTACCACCTTTCAATGTGCTCTGCACTAAAAACAACTGTATCCCTTTGCTGCTTTTTCAAAGCTTATTTAGGAAATTCTTCCACCTTTCTGAATAGAAAGAGGTTTTCACATGCTTTTAACTCATCCTTCTAGAATCAAAGTGAGAATGCATAGTGTTCTCACAAAGTAAACTGATCTTTTGCCAACCCTGCGTCAGCAAGGACCCTATGTAATCTCTTCAGGGTATCAGTTGGCTTTATAGTATGCAGGTTAAATTTTGCAAATTTAGGAACATGTGTCATGCACAAGGCGACTGGGTCACAGATGGGTACACACACCTCTCTCCTGCACTGAGCTACACCTCACTAGCTGCTCTGATGGAGTGTGTACACACATAAAAGAAGCCGAGGGTATTCTTTTTTATGGTCACAAGTCTCATAATTAAACCATGATTCTTGCAAGGTGTAGGTTTGATTAATGGGAGACATCACCAACATTTTTCAATAAAGTACCACAAAATGTTTTAACATCTACCTGGTTATTAGCCTTTGGGGCTATATTTAGTACATACAAATCAGGAAGCCTTCTGGAGCAGGTCAATAGCTGAGGAACAAATGACAGTGTCAATAGACTTAACCAAGAGTGTGTACTTAAAGATAAAATGTGTGCTCGTGGAAAATTCCTCATCTGAACAAATATCAGAATTTTCACAGCCTAGAACGGGAAGGAGGATTCCTCTCTCAAAGCCCCTTTCAAGACGGCAGGGGCTCAATGCAAAGTTGGCAAGCAGTTACCACGGCAACCTAATATTGTTCCCTCCATCTTCAAGAGTCTGCACACTGAAGCCGGCGCGGTTCCCCAACTTCTGTGAGGCTCTAGCAGGGGAAGAGGAAGCATTTTAATAAATATGCCTCCCTTTGATAAAAAAAAAAGAAGAAAAATTGTACTGGGCCCTAACATGTACCATGTTGACAAAAATACCAGATCAAATGGATTTGAGACATAAGCCCAATTCAGGACTGGCTTGGCCCTCCAAGGGGCCTCCCAGGGAAAGGAATTCCTTTATATTCTTGGAAGCCCTTTTCTAGAAAAGCCATTCCATTCATACCTCTGCAGGGATGTGGGTGTGAAGGGCCCTGAGGAAATCTGTAAGAGCCCCTATTGCCCCCCCCCCCCCCCCTTTCTCCCCTTTAAAAGTCCGTGGGGGCATGCCCCCCCCCCCTTCCAACTAAGGCGGGATTTCCAATGGTCCATACATAAATTCACCCAGGTTGTAATTTATTGGAAGTGTACATTGAAGAGACTGTGGGGGCTACTTCTGATAAGATGGGAAGCCAAAGAACATTTTCAAATAAATGCCATAAAATTACAGTAGCTTAAAATTTTGGTGAATCATAGTCTGTTGGTTATTTAAGATGCATGGGTCAATGTGTTCCTGAGCTTAGGTATATGCTATGTAAGATTAAAATCTTGGGGGGAAAGCTTTTGACAAAAGTTGAACAGTTTTCACAAAAGAAAAGCCCTAAAAGAACAGAATCTAGAAGTTGTTAGATTTCTTTCTCATCACCACTAAAGCTTTGCTGTTGTTGTTGTTGTTTTCTTTTAACCTTTGCTAATTTTTTTCTTTGGAATAACAAGATTGCTCTTTTGTCAAAAATACATAAAAACAAAAACACATCAAGCTTCTTAATATTTAGAAATACATCCATATTCCTTATTACGTAAAACATTTAATTTATTTTGTAAAAAAGTCTTTAAATATAAACATAAAATACTGTAACTAAAACAAGTGCCTATTTTAAAAAATTAAATGTGTAGTAGAAATACAAACAAACTCAAAACATAGAGAAAGTACATAGAGTTTATTTTGGTAGACTTGCTTTTTATAGGCATTGGTTTAAAATGATTCTTTTCACAGATGATTCTTTGAAAAGCTAAAAAAAAAAAAAGCAAAGGTTTACATTTCCTTTTATTTTAAAGATGCATAGTAATGACCTGGAAATAAGGATTCTGCCATTCCTGTCTGTGAGAGCCAGCAGATGGAGAGAAGGGAAGCCCCACTGGCCTCCTCTTGGCCCCCTCTGGAATCTCCTTTGCACTCTGTGAGGCTGGCTGCTCCCAGACACTAGAGTGAGAGGCCATCATACAGTATATTGGGGGTCAGGGGCCACCAGAGGCTGCAGTCCCTTGGCTTTCACAGACCTGTGGTCCACCCCTCACCGAGGCTGGATAGGCAGGCTACTTGCTCCCGTGTCCGGTCATGCCGATGTTCTATGGCATGATCCACCAGACCCAAATCCTTCCTCCTTCCTCTACGTCCCTGACAGCATGCTCACCTGGCTTCAGGGGGCCATATGAAAGCCCCTTCCCGCTGTGTCCTGTTCTGGAGCATTTCCTCACCAGTCCAGAAGGGGGGATACCTCGCCTTTTAACAAAACCTGGAGACACTCAATGAAACTGGGGGACAATCTAGTGATCTACAGTTTAGTGGCTACGGATGAAAAGTTATGAGGAAACACAAAGTTTCCATGAAGACTTTAAAGCTCCTTGAGATGCCAGATTGCTGAGCACAGAAATCCCCCAGTTGTAGAGTGTGGGTAGCCTCTGGCAGACTTCCCCAGCTCTACTGTACGCCTTCATTCTCTGCATTCGGCAGAAATTCCAAGTCTTTGGTTTGTGTGAGGCAAAACCAGGTTTATGGAAAACATAGCATCTGCTTCATGTCTATTTTGTCTCCCTCAAGACAACTCAATGTCCTGACGAGCAAGAGTACCCTTAAAAAGCTCAATTGCTGAGGCCAAGCAGTGCGCCCACAACATCTCCGGCTGCTTTGACATGGCCACACTTCATTAGTTTTAATTTACAGAAAGGAAATTAAATGATAACATTTTTTTTTCCCAAAGCAGAACTGTCCAGAATAGGCCTTCAGCTTAAAACAAAACATAGCATGTTTTTCATTAAATAATCCCCCAAAGAAATTCAAAATTCAAAACGCCAGCTCTGAGGGATGACTGGCCTTATATTACAAAGTTTAAGAAATGAAACTTGCAACATTAGCTGGAGATCTTTGTCCTTGATGATATTCTGCAGACTCCCTCTCAAGGGTGAGTCCATTTTCCAATTTTGGGGTGGTGTGACTTTTATTTTAACTCATCACTAATTCCAAAAGAAGACCTGGGCATTTAAGAGAAAGTGATTTTTTTTTTTAAAGAAAAATAATTCTAATCGGAGCCTTATTTGCAAAAATTACTTTTGAAGTTCTTTTTTAAAAAAAGTTACATTTCCAAAAGACACATATTGGATTGGTGTACTTAATGAAACATGTTATTTTTTTCCTCCTATGGGGCTGTCTGTGTCTGACTAAAGGTAGACAGATTTTTATACTGAAAACCGCAAGTTTCTGGAATTAGCCTGACTGCGTAAGACCTGGATAAAGACGGTGCTAGTTTACAATGAGGGGATTTTGTTCAAAGCTGAGGGCTCCATCAAGTTTTCTTTCCACTAACTTCAATTGGGACTGGCAGGAAGAGAGAAGAGGGGACAAAAATTGGCTCTTTAAGGCTGAAAAGTAATGGGTGTGATTCATACGCTCAACAGAGATAGGAGCTGTGTGGAAAAAGTGTGGGTACATCTGGAAATGGCCAAGGTACAAAGGCTTCCTTCCCTTTGTTCTTCCATGGAGACTTTTAGCACATTGGATTTTGAAGGTTTTCTTTTAAAGACACACACACACACACACACACACACACACACGGAGAGAGACACCCCCCCACACACACACTCCCTCTCTCTCTCTCTCTCTGAACTGATGGCACTCAGTATCAACATCATTTTCTCTCTTGGCAATATAAGGAAACAGGGGGCAAAACACCTTACAAACGCAATGCCATGGATTGGATCCTCTGCGTACTGCGTGGTCTTGTAGGAATGCTACACATTTTGAAATGAGCCTGAAATTGGTTTAAAAGCTTTAAAAATCCTCCCTGAGTGTGAGACTGAACCTTCATCTCCAGCTGTTAGAGCCCAAGCATCTACTCCTGCCTCTAAGCAGTGCCCCACCGATGCTTAAAAGATCTTGAACTTGATCAAATCTCTTCAGAATATGCAGTAAACTTGAACTTGGGAAGAAGAGCACATAAAATAATGTCGAAGTACTTGACTGATTTCCTCTACAAGTCACTGCGACCACGCCAGCTGGATGCCTCTCTAAGCCTGCAGACATGGTTACGGGGCCACCACAGTAGAGAGCAACTCTTGGAAGCCTGCCTTCTCTTTTCTTCACAAACACAAATGTAAAATAATTAAGTGCCACTGTCTGTTCTGGTGGGAAAATCTCTCCCTGGATGCTCAGGAACAGTGATCAGATACCTCTAACCCACCACTGGCCTGGGCTGCCATGTTTTGATTTGCCTTTTTTTAAAATCTACAGTATATATATATATATGTATGTATGTGTGTATGTGTGTGTGTGTGTGTATGTATGTATGTATGTATGTATGTTATAGATGGACACAATACCTTTATTTTATTTATTTATTCCTATGTGGTGCTGAGAATCAAACCTAGCGCCTTCCTAAGTGCTAGGTGCTCTACACCTGAGCCCCAGCCCCAGCCCTTGATTTGCTTCTTAATAGCCTGGTGGTAAAGGTCTCCTCTCCTGGGAGAGCATCTGACTTAGTCCTTTGCTGTTTCCACATAACATTTCCCCCCCAATAAACACAAATTCAAGCCCAAAGGGGAAGAGTGATTTCACACCTGTCGAGGGGCTTTACCTACACTGAATCTTCCACCTGTCAACCCTCTATCTAGAAGTACCGTCAAATACCTGATAAAATAACAACCACAAAATAACCAGAAAAGCCCAGAAATATAGAAAAAAAACAATGAATTATGAAATGACTTGGAGGGAGGAAAAAAAAATCCACCTAGAACTCTACATGAGTCTTCCAGCTCCCCTGGTGAGGAAAGGCGGCAGCGACACCCGCAGAGCACCTGTGTGGCTCTGCCAGGCCCCTGCCATCTGCAGACACGTGCCACCCGGCTCCTGCTCTACCGCCGCTTGGGCAGGATGAGGTTCCGCAGCATGTCGAAGGAGTTGCCGTCCGGGTGCACAGTCACCACCTCACCGCCCTCCTGATGAACCTGCAGGAACCCGGAGTCATCGAGGCCCACTATGGACACCTTCGGCCCCTCGGCACTTCCCAGGCGGACTTGTTGACCGCTGAAAAGGAAGCACAGCAGGTCACTGGGAGTGCAGTGGGAGGCTGGCTGCGGACAAGTATCTGAGTGTTTATCCCATTATGCAGAGGTGGGGTCCCAGGGAGAGGGTGAGGCTAGCTACTGGACCTTCCCTGGTCCCAGGTGACTGGTTAACTACTACTCAAACGACAGGGTGGTTGGTGGGTTGGACTCTCTTAAGCCACTGACACTCCCAATTCTGATCACCCTGCTGATTCCCTCACCCCCTCCACCCCTCAAAGGCCACAGTGCCACTTCTCTGGGTTGTTGGGTTGAGACTTGGGGCAGGAAGGCTGAGTCAAAATAAAAGACTGGTCTTACAAAATAAAGCTGAACAACATCAATTACAAGAGAAATTAATTCTGATCTTGCTTTCTTTGAATATTTTCCAGATGTACCTGTTCATTACATCCTTGTTAATTGTTTTCAGAATGGAGAATTCCCTCATACCTTAATTTTACTTTTGTATCATTAAAATTTTTATTTACTTATTTATTTATTAATTTATTTTTAATGGTGCTGGGGACCTTATATGCTGGGTAAGCTCTTTACCACTGAGTTTCATCTATAGCCCCTCAAATTTTTATTTTGAGGAATTCCAAACCTATAAAAAAGTTGAAAGAACAGTCCAACAAACCTCATCTCCCTTCATTTATATTCATACCAAATAATAACATTTTCTGTATTTGCTTTCTCTCTTCTCACACACACAAACACATTTATTTTTTCTGCATCATTGAAAATAAGTTTCAGGCATCATGACACTTCATGCTTAAATACTTTAACATATATCTCCTGCGAAGAAGAACAATCTCCTATTAAACCATATAACACCACTGTCACCCTCGAGAAATCCGGTCTTGATACACTAGTGATATCTAATGTACATTGTACATATTAGATACATGCTATCTCATATATGTGTAGCTAGTCTTTGTGCAGATTTCCCCATGTTCAATGGCTATCCTCTAAACACAACACGTTTACCTATCACGCCTCTTTAGTCTTCTTTAATCTCCAGCAAGTCTCGGCCTTCTCTTTGTTTGCCGGTTTGAAGACACTGCCTTTCCAAGGGTGGAGGCTGCTCATTACACCTCAGAGGTTCTCAAAGGTTAGCTGTAGGAGAGTCCCTGGAACATCCATCCGCACACAGTGTGCAGCCAGGATTTAGTAGGTCCTGGCTGCGAATTTGCCTTTCTAACAAGTTGCCAGATGAGGCTGCCCCTGTTTCCTGGAGATCTCACTTTGAGAACCACTGTTCTAGAACATTCCACCACTTAGATGTTTTGATCATTTTCTCTCAGAACATAATAAACTGATTTTAAACACTTTCAACATTGTGTCCTCCCCTCACATCCTACCGGGAGGTATGAGATGCCTGCGTTCCCACTCCTGGCAACGCTAAAAGTTGGTCACTATGGTGGTGCCCACTGGGATTCTCCATCATGAAAGTGAAAACTAATTACTCAGACCAGGATCCAGGGCCTTGTTTTATTAAAAGAATGGAGACAAATGAGCACTGACCTGTGTATCCAGTATTTGTAATAAAGGGGAAGAACACCATTGGGCCCTTTGTCCTGGAACGTGTGGATCAGTGTCTCCAGCACCGTCACCGTCCTGGCGATGAGGTAATCCACTCGCAGGGGCTTCAGTGCTGCATTGTGCTGCTTATTGTATTCTGTGACGAGATCATTGATGCAGATGGTAGGATTACTGTTGGTTACATTGAATCCACAGCCTGGGCAAAAATAAACAAATAATTGATAAAATGAGCAGTTCAACATCTTGATGGTATCACACATTCCTCTTCACCACCTGGAAAAAGTTAGTGATTGTTTTGTGGTTGTTACTGCAGTGCTGGGGATCCACCCCAGGGCCTTGTCCCACGTCAGGCAAATGCCCTACCACGGAGCTGCATCCCAGCCCTACAATAATTGTTTCACTTCCTTATCATCATTTCATATCTACTGTTTCTGGCTACGTAGAGACTGATATATCTCTGAGACCATCTTCCTTTTTATCCTTCCTATATAAGTGAGGACCATCTCAACTTCACTAGAAAGAAGAAGTTGGGGGGAAAAGTCACATCTCACTGAATTTAATTAAGCAGAAGCTATTATTGCAGCAGAACTTAGTGTTATTTCTGAAATAACGACTCTCATGTGGTCTAGCTAGGAATTGTGCTCTGTATCCAGCCCAAAATGAAGTATTCATTTATTTTCCTACTTGAATAGAGAGAATACATGCTTGAAGAGAGAGAATTTTATTCAGGGCTTAAGGCGTAAACTCTGGATTCACAGATTTCAAACCTTTGCCACGAGACATCCCTAGAACACAACTAATATTTTATCCTCGGAAGCCTCTGGGGCTGAGGCTCTGCTGTTGGAAAGGAGCAAGTTAGGTGTGGTGTTTGAATGCGCTCCTCTGTGCTTACTGCTCCCATCCTCTGGGGGAGGGGTGGTGACTTCAGAGGAGCCCAACCTCAGCCTGCAGCAGGTCCCTGAATCAACCTAAGAGGTTTTAAATAAGAAAACAGGACTGCAAGAGCTAGGTCAAGGCCATCACACGGTCAGTGCCTCTAAGAAAAAAGTCCCCACAACATTTGCTTCAGGTGCAATGACACACCTATAGTGATAGGACTCTTCAGGAAATGTTTGGCCTTTATTAATGTAAAGGGATGGATGGGCTAGCCTCTGATTTTTAAAAGCATATCTCAGTTATTAAAACACAAAGCAATGTAAACTGCACTGGGGAAAAAAAACAAGTATTTATGGTAATGGGCAGGATCTGCAGCTGTGCCTTTGTCCACTTATCCAGCAACATATCTGAAGCACCTATTGAAAGCTGAGCATTAAACTGAGAGCGATCCAATGCTGAAAATCTCCCCTGCATTCAAAAACTTGAAAGTCCTAGGAAGATTAGTGACATTAACTACTGTCAACTTAGGCTCTGTCCTTCCAAGGACCAAAGAACACCCTGCTGACAACTCTGAATCTTTCCCTGGTTGAAGATTGCCCCTAGCCTCCAGTGGCCTTAAGAATTTAGTAAAAGCTACGGATTCATTCCCCCTTGTAGACAAAAATCTTTAGCTCCAAAACTAAATTAATTTCTTCAATTCCAAAGCCATCCCCAGGCCTCTTTGATATCTGTGAACACCACTTGGAAATTTTTGCATCTACCTCAATAATTCATTTAAAGATAGGCAACGGAGCTGTAAACTATGAAGTAGCTTGCCCAGAATAATACCGCCAGTTGGTAGCAGAGCTGGAAACATAAGCCTTGTGTTCTTTGGCTGGCACTTCAACACATGGTCACATGTTTTCTGTCCATTACTGATTTCTGAACACCAATTAAATTCTACTGGGCATCAGGGGCATGTCGGCAGTTAGATGAACAGGGACCTAAGAACTTCTGGAAATGACTCTGAATCATTCTTCTTGCCTGATCTGAATATGCAGAGGTGAAACGGGGATTCTGGACCCCACCTTGACCAGCCTGCAACTGCTTTGAAAGGTTAAAAAGAAGGCAACCCTTTCATGGCTGGAAGGTCAAGGCTCTGTGGCACAAACCTGTAATCCCAGCAGCTTGGGAAGCTGAGGCAGGAGGATCACGAGTTCAAAGCCAGCCTCAGCAACTTAGTAAGACCCTGTCTCTAAATAAAATACAAAATACAGCTGGGGATGTGGCTCAGTGGTCGAGTGCCCCTGAGTTCAATCCCTGGTACCCCCCCCCCCCCAAAAAAAAAAAAGAATGTAAGGTCAGCAGGAGAACTCTTAGAAATTAACCTTCTTATTACATAATGGTATATTGTTTATTTTCATTTCAAATTCAATGATAAGCTGGAGTGTGTGAGGGATAAGAACCACACCTGTTTGATGTGATACCATCTGGTGGTTTCCATGGCCTTAGTCAGGAAATTCTAAGCCCTGGAAGTGCTCTCGACCACCTTGGTCCTCTCTGCACATTACCATGCTCTATAAGACCCAGAAAAGTTATCCCACTTGACAATCTGCTCTTCCCATTGTAGGCATGAATGAGCTGTTTTAATTTTTGGTGTTTTATTAATCTAAAAACTGCAAATGGAAAGGCTTTAAAAACTTACCAATAAGTATATAGAATGTTTCTCCCATAAGGGTTGAGTTAACCAGAACTCCTCCGATCTTCATAAGGTCACTGTAATAAATATCGTTGGGCCACTTCACTCGTAGGTTGATATCCTAAAGGAAAATCTGCACATTAATGAAGCAATCACAGGACACAGAGGGATCAGATGGAGTCATTGAGCCGAAAGAAGATGAGCAGAATACTCCTGAAACTACTGCATCAGGGGCCTCGCCTGGGCCCTTCTCCGTTTTCCAGACAACTAATCACTTCTTGGGGACAATTCAATATTGAAGCAGCTCTTGGGGCCAGAAGGTGAGAGACCTAGAGAACATACTTAGCATAAACCCCAGAACTCTCCCCTACACCCCATCACTGCTTTTCATCATCAAAGACACTTTCTGAAGATGCCTCCTGTGAGTCAAGTTCATCAATCACCTCAGTATCAAGAGCCTCCAGCGAGGTGTGCCTATCTCGTGCTAGGTGCAGGGGGCAGGAAGAGAAGGACACTCTCAGGGTTCACTCTCTTCCAAAGATCGTGCTCAAAAAACAACATGCCCCTGAATTATCAGCATCATGAATGTTGGTTGATTCAGTCCACATTGTTGAGACACTGTAGAAGTGTCTTGAGCAGAATGCTATGAAGACCCAGAGGAGGGACTTGTTTTACTGAGTTATTAGAGAAAACCCTGAAGATCTTCCAACAGTCAACTTGGACAACAGAAGTGGACTTGTCATGTGGTCCGTTGCCACTCCATCTTGGGGATCTGTTTGTGCCCTGGTCACAGTAGAATGGACCAAGAGGAGATACTGCTTTGAGTGAGACCACCCGGGCCTTCACCACCCATATGAGCAGAGACGGGACTGGACCATGTGGACGTCATAGCCACCAGGCTCAGACCTGAGGCTGGCAGCTAGGTCTGGCCATGTGGGGTAAAGGAGGCTCCTCTGGGGACGTGAAGCTGGGAAAGAGACACTGGGCACTATGAAGCCAGAGACCAGAGAGCAGCTGGTGGTCTCCAGGTCCCGTGGGGCTCGTCATCCTGCACTGTGTCCCAGGCACAGCACCGAGCCCCTTCTCAGCACGAAACTCGCCTGCTGGGACTAGTCTCGTCTGTATGGAAGAGATTATGTGGCTGCCTGAGGTTCCAGCACTTGGAAGTGTGAAGCTGGGATTCAGACCAGGCCTCCCCGACAGCCAGGCCTGGGTTCCAACACTGTGCCGTGGGGCCTGCTGCTCCTGTGAAGCCCTCCTTTCTGACAGGCTTCTTACCTCCCCTGCTCTAGAAGCTCTGCACTCCTAGCACAGCAGCCTGGGCTGAGAGCAGAAGTGCAGGAGCAGCCCAGGCACCAACAGGACGTGGGGTGCTCACAACGGGACCTTTCAATGACAAGGACCTTTATGTCTCCTTTCTGCCTCGAGTCAGGGTTCTCAATGTGGGGAGGCATCTGGCATCCTGGTTGTCACAGCTTGAGAAAGACAGTGCCCTGGCATCTAGTGGGCGGAGGCGGGGCTGCTGCTGCATGTCCCCTCAGGCCAGCACTGCCCGAGGACAAAAATGTCAGCAAATCATCAACAGGCCTCAGGTTGAGAGGCTCCTCTAGAAAACCTGTGAGCTGGAGACTTGAGCCTTTGTCACTCTCCCAATTCTCCAAGGGATTTGTTTCTCTTCTCTTCCTGCCACCTGTGTCCCCACAGTGGCACGGTCAAGCCTCTGCCTCCACAGGAGGACAAAAGAGTTCCCATAGCTCAGACATGGCTCCTCTGCCTGGTGGGCGGCAGCTTTTCTGAGCTGGCCCTGAGCGCCAGCTCTGGCTAGGCTTCATGTTTTCCGATTTTGTTCGGGAAATGAAGCAGCTTAAGAAATTCTGGGTTCTCATGGGGGCAAACAAGAACGTCTATCCCGAGATGCAGAGACCGGCCATGTTCTCAGTTTTTCTTTTCCCAATCACTGATTCAAACAGCTGCTGTGATCCTCCCGTGGCTAAAGCAGTGTGCTCGGTACTGTAGGGACCCAAGGGGCAGGAACCCTGCCTTCAAACAGCTGGAACTTCGTGGGAGACAGAACAGGAGCCCACAGGACTCTGCTTCAAGGCAACGTCAGAAAAGTGGTTCAGACACTCAAGGTGCTATCGGGCTGTGGAAGGAGGGACCACTGAGAGACTCGGGGAAGGCACCTCCCTGAGCTGGGTCTTGAAGGGTGAGCAGAAGCTCAAGATGCAGAGGAGAGGGAGGAGCAGGGATGGGGGGAAGTGATGGGCAAGAGTCCAGGCAGATGTCACAGAGAGAAGGAGCAGAGGGAGCCGGAGCAGGCCTCCCGCAGAAGCTCTGGAAGGAGGTGGGCCCTGCAGTGATGTGCCTGGGTCTGGTCTTGGTTTCCACGCGGATGTAACATCTAACTAGGGGCCAGCTGAAGCCCGAGTGAAGGTCAAAAGAAAAGTGAACTCTACATAGCTGGGGCCATTTCAACCATCGAACAGTGGCTCTATGTAGGCCAATGAGGCCATATTAAAATAAATTCAATTCAAAATCCAAATCACACACACAGGGGTGCTGAGGCGATGACTGTGGAAACAGGCTGGGAACCTTGGTAGAAGTTTCTTAAGGTGCACCACGGAGGGCAAGCCTTCTCCCTCCCCACAGCCTGCTGCCCCCAGAACTTGGAACAGCCCTGTATACAGAAGGAGCTCAAAGAATGCTGCTAAGTTAACCAGTAAGACTACAAGGTCAAAGCCCTGAAAAAGGTGAATAGATTCATTTAAGATTCTAGTCTCAGTATTTAACTTACTTTCCTAAGACTCATTACCTGTTGCTCGGTTGACAATACTTCCTCCCATGATGGAGCTTTGGATTCTGAAGCTTCCTCTGAGAAGTATGCAGCTCAGGTGCTGCAGACCTGGCTCCTGAAGGTCTGTGACTGTCTGAGGAGCCCCCAACTCAACAGACACTGGGGACACTGAGTGTCTGGTAATAAGCATATGTCAGCATATTGTGGGGAACACAGACTTTGGAATTATCTACACCCAGGGGACAGCAGAGACGCATGTGCACGTGAAGTCGTGGCCACAGGGGACGGCAGGTGAGAGGCAATGGCGAGGACTTTTCTTTAAATACCAGTGGAGGACCTCAGCTTCTCTGAGAGTCCTGCTCCTAACATATTGCTCCAGGAACCCACACGATCATGAGAACTGCAGGTGGGAGGGAGTGGGAGGACCTCCTTTTTATATCCATGTGAAATCCTTGCAGGAACATTTGGGGGGCATGCAGGGAGGCAGGGAAGGAAAGGCTCCAGTTATCATCATCCTCTTTTCCTTGTCTTTTTAATAACTGCCACCAAAGCATCCCTCAGTCACAATGACACAGGTACCTCTGTCCTTACTTTGGGAAAGACAGTGACTGACAACCCTGGATGCTGAACTCAGTCAACCGTAGACAAAGGGTAGCTCTGCTGAGCAGAGACAATGGTAAACGCAGGTAGGAAAAGAGAAGGTTTTTTTTTTAGTCCATAAAATAAGACTTTTTAACAGAAAACACAGAAAAATAGCTCCCATCCAGTACTCCATCAGAAAGAAAAAAGAAAAGCAAGAAAGCTGACAAACAGGAAGGACAGAACATTCTGGAGGACACAGGCACTCTGGCGGGGCCGGCAGAAACACCTGGTGGTGCTCGTAAAACTCCACTCTGCAGCCAGCAAAGGGCAGGTGGAGGTTCAAGTCCAGCTGCCAATTCTGCAAACATATGCCACAAACCAAACAGGCCGAGCTCTGCAGGCTCAATAAGAAGGTAAGGGAGTTGAACTACACGTACCTGATACTCGGGAATGGACCGCACTGCCTCCACAGCGGCGAGGGACATCAGGTGCTGCACAAACGGAATCCTCTGTCCCAGCTGAGACCTCAGGGGGATGGAGACCAGCACAGTAGAAAGGGCACAGCCCACGGGGCTCAGCCAGGCATTCGGTCCTCGCCCTGGAACACAGACCATTGGGTATCTAGTGCTTCACCAAATGGACGCTCTGAGGTGGGAGAGTGCCCCACTTAGTATTCTGGGGTGAACTCAATAATCAGAAGGGCACTGTAAAACTTGAAGCTGTGTTGCTAAAAGGGTTTCCCTTAATTAGCATCATGCTCTGTCCCTGTGGCATATCATTCGTGCTCTGATGACTGAATCTTACAGCGTCTGAACATGGGCTTGCCTCATTCTCACTGCCAGTCACAGGGTGAAGACAGACATGCTGGGAAACTGGAGCAGTCTACACTGATCCAGGAGAAGTTCTGCAAGCCACTTTTTCAAAGTGATCCTGTTATGGGGTTGTCCACACAATCCAGTGAACATCACTAAACACCACAGCAGTTTGCCTCAAGTGGGGGGACTGTATACCACATGCTGGTTATCTCAAGAAAGTAGTTTTTAAAAAAATGACCCCTAACATTAACTCTCTGAGTTGTTACTTTTCTTAAAATTTAATTTAGGAAAGTAAAATGATCAGAATGAGAAGTATGATTAATCAAAGTTCTTTTAGAATGTTTTTAAAAACCCACCATACTGAGTCCCGTAGTTTTGAATCATTTTTTTTTTCTTATTGAGCTATGTTCAAGAGGAATAAGTGCAAAATAACAGATTTTTATTTCTCTGCTTCTTCTGAAAAAGCTACACTAGCCTCTGAGAGCTAAAAGTATACTCCGTGGGCCTGGCTGGGGATCAGGAGGGGCAGGGCCAACCTGCTGGTGTCTCTTGCAGACACTGGGCAAGGAACCTGGGGCAGACCGCACATGGGCTCTGGAGGATCCAGGCTCTTGTTCCAAGACCAGCGGGTGGAAGAGGCCCAAGCAGCACCCTGCTTCTGTGGTCACTTTGCAAAAGGTCATTGATCTAGTGTCCACTACATGAAAATTCCAGTGCTGGCTAGGGTGGGAATCCACACAAGCGAGAAGCCCTTCCACATGATACTTAGAGACACAGAAGGACCCTCGGGAGGACCTTCAGGAAAATAAATCTAACACAGTTATGATTTACAAATGCAAAGACCAGAACACATCAGAGAGAAGAATTTACAAAATGTAGGCCCGTGGTTGTTAAGGCCATCAGAAGCAAATGTCGAATGACCAACCTACACGGCCGTTGAGAGAGTATTTTGATTCTGCTGAGGCTAACGCTTCCCAACACGGTTTCCTTCCCTCTGGCCCCATTTCAGAGGGCTGTGAAAATGGGAAAGACTCCAACTCAAGTTGTCTCAGTGATCAGCACACAAGATCAGTGGGCTCTCTGGCCAAAAGAATCATAGATTTTAGCAAAGAAAAACAACAAAAGATGACTGACCTTTGCCCTGGGTTTGCCGGACTGCAATGGCAATTAAGCCCATTTCCTGTGGCATCTCAAACATCAACCTGCAAATGGTGGGAAAAACTGGTCAGCTGGAACAGGGAATCGTGCAGGAGGAGCCCAGCTCCGACAGGAGGGGACAGGGCTTGTGTTCACCAGTGTGCGTGTGGCCAAGGAAGTGGAGTCGCACAGCTGGAAGGGCTCTGCCCTCCTTCACAGCCTCTGCAGTGAGAATGCCCACCAGAGCTGAAGAAATGCCCGAGGGCACTGAGCGCAGAGGAGGGACAGAGGCACCTGTCGGTGTCCTCAAGACTGGGTCAGATGATCCGTCTTAGGAATATTCCACCAAGTTCTTTCTTCCCCCTCTGGTGCATGCACTCTGCTCAAGTGACAACTAGCAATTGCTGACATTTGTTTCTACTTACGGTGAGTTTCTGTTCAAACACCAGTACACAATCACAACAGAAGTTTCTGATTATTCAGAAAACCAATATGGTGGCAATAAAGACGTTTAAAAGATACACCATCCCCTGAGAACTAATTATGCTTTAACTATAGTAAATAAATCTACACCTTCTGAGAACCTGGGAGAACCTGGATCATTTTAGGCTTTAGTCCTGCTTTTAAAATAGTTTCATTTAAAAGAATACAAACTTCCCTTTGGGGGATCGGGAGGAAAGTGCACCACATCTCCACCTAAGGAGTCAACATTAGCTTTTTTTTTTTTTTCCCAGAAAAGACAAAAACACACAAAACCCCTCACTCTGAGAATTTCCTCCAAACTACACTCTACATATTTTAACTATGTGTTGGACCTTTCCTCTGTCTTCCATGTAGTTGCCCATCTGGTACTGAGCACACAGAGCTCCCAGCAAAATTCAAGTCTGCCCGTTTGCAGTGCAGCTGGGAGGGACACTCTGCAGTATTTTCTTCTGAGAGCGGCAGGGCCTGGAGGAGGGAGAGCTGGTATTCTGTGTTAACATAAAGTTTCCAATGAACAATCTCCAGGGCTCCACAGTACCCCTGTGAGGAGAGAGGGGCTCTAAAGAAAGCCCCTGCCCTCAGCAGCTCTCCTTCCTGTCCAACAGGTTAAAGAAATTGCATGGAACTTCCCAAATGTCTGAATTTGGGAAAAGAAGAAAAATACTTAAAAGTAGAGCAAAGCAACAGTGTTCCCGTGACCCAAGGACTCACAGAGCCCCACCTGCTGGTGGAGCTCAGAGGGGCCCTGAGGACCCTTCACTTGTTAAGGAGATCCCAGGTCACCCGGGCAAGGCTTGTCTGGTGGGACAGTTGTGCTCCCCTGTGCTGCTGGGGCGGGCACTGGGCACTCTGGGCAAGCCATCCAGGGGCCCGATCCACTTCCATCTCACATGGAACACAGCTCCGCAAGTATTTCTCTTGGACACCGTGAATAACCCATTGAGATGGGGTGTGCCTATGCACTTCTGGGCTCCAAGAATAAAGCGTCCTTTTCTTGTGCTGGACTGGCAGAAAGTCCTGAGAAGGAGTCTTTGACTGTGTGGGGAGTTAACATTGTCTTCCAGGAACCTCTGCTTTCTAGAGGGTCCCAGCGACCCTTCGCCTGGGTTCCTGAGGCCCAGGGCTTGGGCTGGGGGCTATTTAGCACATTGTGAGCAGATTGCAGAGGCTCTCTGGATTGCAGGCAATCTAGGATGTTCTTTAAATAAACAGACAGGAGATGGTCAAATGCTAGCGCTAATGATGGTGATGGTGGAAGGGGGTGAAGGGAAACAGGGTGGTTCAGAAACCAAACACAAGCTTCCAGAACAAAGAGGAATGATTAAGGGAACACATGCACTCAACTGCTAGAGGTTTGGCAGCAGTTAACAGGGCATATTAATGAGAGGACTGAGCCTGTGTGCTGAAGGCCCAGAGGAAATTCTGCAAGGAGGGAGACAACCGGGGAAGGAGCTAATGCTTAGTTTGAGACAACTGGAGGCCGCCAGATTTATTTGTGCTATCTGAGATAACTCTGGGGGCCAAACCACAAGGCTCACAGTCAACAAAGAAGCATTTATGAACTTTGTCAATTTTGCATTTCTGAAAACAAAGCTGTTGCAGTTTGCTTTAGCAGAAAAAAGAAACCATAAATGCATTTCCATCCTTCATAGTTTATACCTTTACAAAAGGAGAAAAAAAAAAATTCAAGGTTACATAACGATGACCTCCCGGCCTTGGTGTATTTTCTTTCCTGGCTGGCAAGGTTCCTGTGAGTGGTGACTGTGTGCATTCACCTTTGTACCAAAGGGGCACCCAAGGAAAGACCTGTCTACATCCTCGAGTTCTGCATCTGGACCTTCCAGGGCCCCCTGGGCACTGAGTGAGTCGCGGTGTCCCAGGGGGGCTCTGCCAAAGGAAAGACCTGATTTCCACCTGGTCATTAGGATGTTTAAGAGTCATCATACTTAAGAGTCATCCAGAAGTTTAGGAAAAACTCTGAATGAACAAAAGTTTAAATTCAGACCTATTCCATCCACTTGGAGGATCTAAACCTAAGGAAGAGTCCACATTCACCACAGCGTTGGGAAAGGAAAAATCTGGAAGTGACATAAGGGTTCACTGGGGGAATGGGTGACTGAATTATGGTATCTAAACTGATGGAACAATTTGTACTTGTTACAAATGACAGTTAGGAAGACTGTAGAGCAGCATGGATGCCAAACCTGCAATACAATGTTACAAAGAGCAAGATTTATACTTTATTCCTTCTATGTAAAATTCCTAGAAAAGGGAGGGAGAGACCTGGTAAAATGGTAATGGTGGTTATATTAGGATGACTTTTTTCTTTCTTAAAAACTGTCTCTAATATGATAGATTACCTTTATTTTATTTTTTAATTGTAGTTGGACACAATACCTTTGTTTACTTATGTTTATGTGGTGCTGAGAATCGAACCCAGCATGTGCTAGGTGAGTGCTCTACCACTGAGCCACAACCCCAGCCCCAGATTACCTTTTAATTTAAGAATTATTTTTAATTTGGGGGGATTAAAAAGCATAGTTTTTAAGTTTATATATAATATCAGTAATTAATTATTCATAAATATTTCAGGGACTAAGACCAAAAGATCTGCTTTAATAATAACCCAGACAATCACCCATGGTTGGTTAATCTGCAGCACTCCACAGCTAACAAGTCAGAGCCTGTTTGATGGTAACCAGTGAGCAGAAATCCCAAAACCAGTCTGTCTGTATGAATGGCAGCCTACAAATCTTTACATTCTCTGACTCAGTGACTACACCTCTAGAACTGACTCCTAAGGAGTATTCAGATGGGAAAACAAAATAATTCAGGCGTGGAACTATTTGTGGTGGCATTACTGATACATTTTGAAAACTCAAGAACAAGCTAAATGGTCCACCATAGAGGGATGAAAAAGCACCTGGGTCCCACATGATACAGTACCCTGCAGCCCTCAGTGAGGTGGGCAAATGCCACTGGACTATATCAGGTGGTTCACTCAGGGTGCAAAATCCTAACACACCATGATGCCACTGATGTTAGAAAATACACTTTAAAAAATTTTGAGGAACACCACATTAAACCATTAAATGGTTTTCTTAAGGAATTATTTGAAAAAAATTAAAAAGCAAAAAGCGGAAAATAAGTCACCCCGGTAAGTCCCTCTTCTCTTTTAAGTATATACTCTAGAATTTTTCTCCTTTAAAAAAAACAAACACAAAGACATGTCTTACAAGATAATTTCCTGAGGACTAGAAAATTTTTATTTTGGAGCTATTAAAATGATGTTCTAGATGAACAGTTATCACAATTATCACTATATCCATAAGCTTTATTTTTTAAAGTCTTAAAAACTGGTAGCATAATATGATTCCCTTTATATAAAGTATGTCTTTATAGAAGAATACAGGGCATATATTAACAGTGGTTATCTCCAGAGGATAGAGGTAGAATTAAATGATGCTTTAAATCTCTTCTTTATGTAATGTCAGGGTGGTTAGATTCCAAGAGACTTTTATTTCCTTTTTTTTTTTTTTTTTACACTTTTTCTGGAATTTCCAATATTTCAACATTTGGACTGCAGCTATTTTACTATCAGGAAAGACATTGTTTATAAAAAGATTTATTTAAACTTAACTTTTACGTAGGGTAAGCCTCACCCACCAGTTCACTTGCTGGTGAGGTGCCTGCCCGCTCCTCTCTGGAGAGATCATGTGAGAGCAGGGCACAGGAGGCTCTCCCAGGCTCCAGAGTCGCCCAGCAGCCCCCATGAAACACGGGCCATGCCTGTCCTTCACCCATTCCCCATGCGAGGGCAGCACGCCAAGGCCCAGTTATGCGGTGCCCTGGTGCAGGGACAGCCTCTTTCCTAAAGAGATGTTGAGCAGCTTTCTCTGGAGGAAGGAACCCCACCTCCCTCCAGGGGATCCCGCTCCCAGGCAGTCCCTGGAGTCTCCTTCCGGGTGGGGTGGGTGCGGGAGTCTGGTGACCCCTGAGCCCCCCAGCCTGAGGGCGCCTGGAGTGAGCTGCATTTTCTGTGTTGTTCCTCCCCCACGTTCGGCACCTGGTCTTGGTTCTGCCTTGGTTCTCGGCGTGCTTTAGAGACATACATTCCCAGGCTGCCCCCAGGTCTTCCACCAGTGGGCCAGAAGAGGGGAGGCAAGGGGACCCTGGCAGTCCAAGGGCTCATGACTTACTTTGGTTTTTAAAACAGTTTGTTAGCATCCATCACAGCCCGTGGGCACATGTGCGGCCTGAAGGAAAGAGTGCCAACCCCCAATTCAAAACTAGTCTTTTTTTAAAATATTTTTTTAGTTGTAGATGGACACAGTGTCTTTATTTTACTTATTTATTTATTTGTATGTGGTGCTGAAGATTGAACCCAGGGCCTTACGCATGCGAGGCGAGCACTCTACCACTGAGCTACAGCCCCCAGACCCCCATCAAAATAGTCTTTTAAGTGTTTTACATTGTGAAAACCAATCATTCTATTTGTGCAGTACTTTTTTTTAAAAGCTAAAAATACAAAATATCAAGATATTTTATTTTTTAAAAAAGTTTTCACTTGAACTGTACAATT